CTGTTATCATTGTAATCACTGTAATCAGTAATACACTGATTAACTTTTAGAAAGTACACACAAATTAAAATTAGATTGGGAAAACTCATAATGTATTCTAGACGTATTCATAATGTCAGATTTTTTTCATTTATAAAGAATTTAATAATTTTTTTCGCAGAGTCTGAATTATTATCTTTCTAGACGATTGCACGAGTTTTATCGGTGTCGCGAGAGTTATACTCTCAAACGCGAATTTCGTGCCGATATATCAGATATTCGACGGCAGAAATTATTCAAGCAGATTCATTTTGCATAGATTACGAAACCATAAGCCGAACTTTATTGGCAGCTGCAAAGTTTTGGCCTAAATATTGGCGGCGCTAGGAATTAGGTCTACTAACTTTGATAAATTGGAAATCTTTCAATTGAGAATATCTATGGAAAACCTCGTCTGAAAGGAGGCCCACATATCGGCATCGTGCACGCTTACCTGGCGCACGTGTCTCGATTTCAATAGACTAATTTCCGAAGCATCCAATTTCGTGATCTTCCTCGTATACGATTGAAAATAACTAAATCTGTGCTTCGTCATATAATCGGGAAAACGAAGAACACTAAATATAATATATTTTTAGATATTGCAGGCTTTATTTTTGTAAACATAATATTGCTAGAAATATTTCACAATTTTTAAAAAAGCAAATATACAGTTGTAAAAATAAATTAATATGAGCTAATAAATAAATAGCAAATAAATTTTTAAGGGAAATTTCTTTACATATGTTATTGATAATATTATTCATCTTCATTGACTTTTATATTCTTAAAAATATAGATTTTAAGCATATGCCTAATTTGACTAGATATAAAATAAAACTCCATTTTATCTTGACACATAAACAGAAAACACTTTTTAAGTAAAATATTTCACAACCATTCTTTCGGCAAAAAAAATCACTCCCTTGCGAATGCAGTAATGGAAGAATCCTGTAAGTGCGCGTAATGAAGAGATGACAGTAAATTCTTCACGGATAATTAAATTCGCGGCTCCCGCTTCTATCATTTTTTTCTCTCCCCTACCATTCTTTGCCTCAGTTTAGCTTATCGAACGATTTTTATATTTATTACCTTGCGCACGCGTGTTTGGGACAGACAACGATCGCGGATAAGAACGAGAACGATAGGGGCGCCAAAATCCACCCCTCGGATTCCCCACAATTCCTATCTCCGGGTCCCTTTTTCAGCCCTTCGCCACCCCCGGAAAACGTCGCGACGCGTGTTTTACACCCGCCACCGTTAGTCGGCGAAGTCGCAACAGATGCAAGTGCATTCTCCGCACCTCTCGCGCTCTTTTTCTCTCTCTCGATCTCACGCCCCGACTTTTTTTCTGTACCGAGCTCGACGGTATTCCCCCGAGATGCCTCGGGAAAGGGCCCTGTTGGCCGTCCGGTTAACTAGAGTATTGTTCGATTATTATTTCGGTACATATCGCGCACTTGTTACCTCTTTGTGCGGTCATATGGTGGTTGGAGGGTGACCAGCGAGTGTCACGAGATAGAAGACGTGACGAGTTAGAGAGAAACATGCGCAGCATCACTTGGCATAATAGAGATAAAAGTATCAATACAAGAAAGTATAACGATTAAAAATATAGAAATTAAAGATTTTAAACGCATAAAACAAATATATGTATGTTACCACAATATATATACAAATATATCTAAATAAATTTATAATATTAGATCAAAAATAAATAAGAAATAGATTGTAAAAAAGGAAGAGATATGATAAAAGAGCTCTCTTCGCGTATTTTTTTTATGAAGCGTAATATTAATAACGTATACAGTTAAAAATTATAATAAAACGTGTCGCGATAAATCTAATGATTTTTTATCAAAATTTTAAATTACTTGTTAAATTTATTATTAGAAAAGAGAAACTTGGACATCTCTTGATTATATGGTGTTTTAAATATTGTAAAAACAAGAAAGTCACGTACGTAGAGGCACGCGACGGCACGACAGTACATAAAACCAAATTTAGCAGGGTACATCCGTCGCCGGCGAAGAAAGGAGTCGAAGCGACGGACGAAGAACGGACAATGATCTCCGCAACGCGGCGGGAACATCTGCTCGGTCTTGGCGCACCGTCGCTCTCGAATCGCTCGCGTTCTCCTTCACGGCCCGATCGGCCCGATGCCGTGAAACTTGTCCCACCTCGATATGTGCATGCATAGGTGTTCATTATCCTCTACCAGCCTCCTCTTTTCGTTCGATGGTGTCCGTACGCCGCCTCGCGCGTTCCTTTTTCCGCACGATCTTTTTTGGTCCACGGGGAAACATCTGCGGCAGCTGCGAGGCGATGGACCGCCGCCGGGACCTCGGCTCCTCGTACGAGGCAGGTGCTCACCTTCTCGAGGCTCTCCCTCGCCTGCCAATTACGCGTGCCTCTTTCTGCCTCTCCCACTCTCGTTCCATTTCTCGTCCTCGCCGCCTCCGTCGCGCTGCCTCTTTCGTAGTTTTTCTCTCGCCTTCTCTCGTTACCATCCCTTCCTCCCCCCCCCCGCACATTGCTGTTTTTATTCCCTTCCTCCCCCGCCCCGTTCCTCCACCCTCTATCTCTCCGAGTTTTGATCTCCTTCATCCTGTTGCCCTCGTGCCAACTTCTTGCATTCCTTCGCGTGTTTTAACACGCTCCACCTTTCCTGCTCAATTATTGAACAGGTAAAGTTTTATCGAACCAACTGTTCTTTTTATATGTTTGATAATAAGAAATTCTATGACATTTCTCCAGTAGTTATTCGTTAATCGGACAACATTTGTAATAACCCTTCCTCTCTATCTTCGATGTTGTCTTTCGATCTTTTTTATTGAATGTCCCACGTGACAACTTGTTGAGCACTTTATCTCTATCTAATTATCAAAGAGAAAAGACACACAGAGGTATTATTTCCCAAATTTTTTCAGTAGAAAAACTACTAGACACGTTTAATTAAATGTAGACTAAATTTGTTCTATAAAAGTCTCAATCTATGTTACATTTAAAAATATCTAATATATTCCTATAATGTCACATGTTTTTCCGCTGAATGTTTTTCTGCTGATTAAGCGGATATTATAAATATAGCGCAATTATTATTCAGGTATTCTTTGCATTCCCTTTTATAATCGCCTTCTTTTTTCATCTTGTTCGTGCTTAAAGTTGCTCTTGCTTCGTTTCATGCTCCTTCTCTTTAGGCTTTCTCAGCTGCCGCTGCTTAAAGAGTAGCTTACTTGCTCTCTCCCAAATGATGCGCCGCTTCTCTTGGTTCAGCGCGCGGCTCCATCCAGCTTCTCCCTTTCATTTTTTCTCACTCTTCGAGATGGCAGCCGTCTGCCCATAGGCGAGATCGAGGCACGTGCACTAGCTTGCAAATGGCTCGGAGATGTGTGCACTTTTATATATCATAATGTTTCTGGAGAACGAATTAGAATATTCATAGAGTAGATTATATTTTCTCGTTTTTACAGAAAACTCTATAAAGTTTTCTGTCAAATGTTTTCATATTAAAATGTAATATAGAAAAGTTGATTTCTTCATTTATTTCTTCGTTTATTTTTTCATATTAAAATGTAATATAGAAAAGTTTATAATTAAAATAAAATATTAAAAAAATCTTTTTCTTTCGCTTTAGCTTGTAATGCAATAACAAGGAGAATTGCATGATGCAGAAAATATTTTTATCAAGCCTTGTATTCATGTTCCGGTTAAATTTGCATAAGAAATATATTAATATATGCCATATATGCTTGATGGCAAGCACTGTTTACGTTATGCAATACTATCTGTTTCATGTTGAAGGAACTTATCTGTAGTCCATGGTTATACAAGATACACGTTACATTCTCCACTGTTCGCAAGATCGGAAACAATTCCTTGGAATGTTATGGATTGACATTTTATTCATATAGAGATAAATTCATTTCATTACTTTTAATTTTGTCATTAATGAAAAATTTTGTTTAGAAAAAAGTGCAAAATTACTCAAAGAAATATTTGCTTCATTTGCCCTATTATAATCAGCATATGAAATAAAAATCACGATGATTGGTATTATTTATGCTCCTCCCGAAACACTCGCTCAGCCTACCAATCACCGTACGAACACTTGGAAGAAAACTCGACCCGACTTTGGATGGGCCACATGCCTTCCTGGTTCTATCTAGCAGCTGTCTTCACGAGACAGTGAATCTCATTCTGCTCTTAATACCACTCAACTCTAAGGTTCTATATTACTTTGCGCTCTATACTACTTTGTACATCGAGTAATATCAAAATTTTTCGTTACTCATTATTGTAAAATTGTTAATTGAAAAATTGCTATTATTTTATTACGCAATTATGCTTACTGTCAGCTAAATACCAGAATAATTTACACTTGTTGATCATTTTAAGAACTTGTAAAAATCGATATGAAAAAGTTGAGAAAATTAAATTTGAATTTATTTTGATAAGCTTTTTTCTCAGAAATAAAGAAATTATGCAACTGTTGAAATGATCTTGCACTGTTCTTAAAGACTAAGATTGAAAATATTATAAAAATGTTGGTATTACGATACATCTCGTATAAACAGAATCTTTTTGATTGGCAAAGTATCTTTAGGCCCATATTCTGAATCTTCTTTTATCGATAAAAGAGCTTTTGAAAGTGGTTTGTAGCCAATCAGAAGACTTATATGCCACTTTTAGAGGCACTTTTATCGATAAAAGAGGATTCAGAATATGGGCCTAAAAATATTTTGCCAATCAAAAAGATTCTGTTTATACGAGATATATCGTAATACCAACATTTTTATAATATTTTCAATCTTCAGTTATTAGCTAATAGCTTTAAACGAACACGAAATAATAATAATCGAAAATATCTTATATTTTTTTAAATGCTTATCTTATGGCTGTTGACAACCTCGACCAACATTGCGCAACAAATTGAATTGTTTCGAGATCCATTGGTTCTCAAAGATGCGTGTGCGACTTACCCATAAAGCATCGCCGCCCCAGCTATACCACCACCGCATTGTGCTGCTATATAGAGCACCGCGCGAAGTGGGGAAATCCGTCTGCACAAAGCGAACGATAGCGAGACCGCTGGATTTACATGTCCACCTGCGTAAAAAAGGTTTTCCGTAAAGAAAAGGGAAGAATCTCAAAGAATACAAAGATTACGCGATTTTTTACTCGTATACCGTTTGATCGACGTTTCTTTTTTTAAACAGCGACATTCGTCTTTGTTTATATTGCTCAAAAATTATAACATTAATCAATTTAATTTGTTACAATTCTCGAATCAATGCGAGATTGATGCAAATCGGAAAATTAAATTACCAACCACGACTTCATGTGAATTGCGACAAAAATAATATATTCCTCGTAGAGCGCTTGTCAAGACATTAAATAAATTTTCTCTTTCTTTCAAGCAATAATTCTCTTATTATATATATAAATTACATAGATTAATATAAATTTAGAGAATTAATCAATTTTCGTTATAAATAATTGCTCAATGAACTGAAATAGAATTAAATTGGCGGGCATGTGTATCCCATTCATTCGTGAAACCATAGTGAATGAGGAATAATCGAGATCGAATTTCCGTAGTATACGGGAATTGAAAGTTTATACTACACGCGTATTGTGCGCGGTGGAACGTACTCTGACAGTACCCACATATGCGTTCCGATAGACACGCACAATGCGGCAATATCCACATCCACGCCACTGGCGTAATCAGTTAACGAGTCAATCGAGAGAAATCGCGAGGGCTGCTGCTCGTCAATGATACGAACATAGAAGAAGGAACACGACTATTCACGCAACGAGATAGTTGCTTCGAGCGGTTCGCGAATTTACGTAATTATTCTCTGAATACTTTGCAGAAAGAAGATACGCACGCATATGTGTATAAGCCTCACGCATGCAATGTAAGATGTACAAATTAAGATTAAACAAATTGTTTACTATTGGCGATAGTAGAGATTGTACTTATAAACTTACGAAAGAAAGAGAAATATTAATTATTATTTGAAATAATAAAATAATAATGTGTTATATATTAATAAAAAAAATTTTTGAAAATGATCGGATATCTTTTCTTTTATTTTTTATGTATATTTTGGAGTTTTATACATATTTAAAATAACTAACTAATTGCTTCTTTCTAAACACTTAAATAGAAGCAAAAATTAATTAAATTAAAATAACAATTATTATTTAAATTATATATATTAAATTAAAATAACAATTAATCAGTTTTGTGATTACAAAAGTAAAAATTCCAATTAAATATTGAAGACTATTATGTATAAAATATAGCCGTTGTTTTTTTCGAATGAATTTCATCCGCCAAACATAACAACAGATACACAGAAACTTTATCTCCTAAATTTCGTAAAAAGCAATGATTCTTACCACTTATATGGCTGAAGATGAGAGAAATAGCTGCGATAGTAAAGCCGGAAGCTATAGCGGTGGCTAATACAGAGAGACCACTTCCGGATACGGCGGAGGCAGCGGCTGCACCAGCTACCACCAGACTGAAGAGGAAAGTAGCAAAGCACTCAACAGCCACTGCTCGCCAAAGCTCTAAACTACGAGCCTCGATGGACATGGGTGGTTTTCTGTCAATGACTTCGGCATTGTTTTCCCGAAGAGCCGATAGTCTGGACAGGATGGTGATGATGTGCGAGTCGACCTCGCGCGCCAAAGATTCGGTTGTCATCCTTGCTTTCGTTGTTGCTCGATCACGAATAGAAAAAGAGGAAAATATGACACGGCACGACAAGGTGTGCTTTCGCTCTCAGAACATGTTCTTTCAGAATGATGTGATTCGCACGCGCACTTTTATGCTAATGTCAATCGAAAAGACCGCGATCACTGATCGATTGAGTGCGATTTGCTACTGTCCTTCAACAATATTGCAAATTTTTCCAATGAAAACTCAAAAACTGATCTTTCCTCTTTCAAGATACCATGACATTCGCCACTATTCTCGATGAATTCTTCGAGTGAAATAAACTCGAAGTGTCGTGAGCGCGGCCGAAGAAGGATCTACTCGATGTTGTCTCTCCGGCAACGCGCTCGCGAATGAAAAGCCAACGCGATGGTGAACAAGTGGGCCCTGCTTTAAGCGCCTTTACCACCTTACTACCCTCCCCTCTCTTCGATCATTATACCCGATATGCAGTGCATCTGTAAAGCTGCGCATTCGAGCTCCTCGCATCATCACTACTATCACTACTACTACTAAATACTAACCGAATAATGTCTAAGACTTTAGAAACTTTTTTTTAAATACTGAATATACGCTGAAAAATTTTTGATCTTTATCTTCCTAAGATAATTATAAAGTGCGTAAAATAATTATATTTATAAAGTATATTATTTTTACAATTAAATTAAGTGAGACTTTTTGTATTAAAAAAACAAATTATTTATTTAAAGAATTATTTTATTTTTTTATAAACGCTTTTTGGCGAATGTCTTTATATTTTTAAATCTATTTTTTTTACCGCCTTTATTTTATATTATTAATCTGATCTATGAAAAGCAAATTGTTATATTTTAATAATTGAAAGTTATTTAATGTACAAAAATAAATACAATAATAATATACAATAATAAATTATAATTAATTATTTTTGTTTTTTACACTTGAAATATGGGAATATAAGATATTTGATATCTGTATTTATTCCCCATGGATCTCATTCGCGAATTTCCACTGATATTTACAAACGCAAAGAACACATTATTGAGATTATACAAATTATAAAATATTATAAAAAGATAAAAAAACTTTTTATCTATATTCAAATATTAATTCAATATTAATTTAATCAAAAGAGTCTATTAAGTATTGATGCTTCTTTCTTTATTGAAATTAATGAATTGCGCTTTCAATGTTATAAATCACTGTTTTTAAACCCCGCAGAATTTTCGTGTAGAATTAATGCAAAAATATTGTTTCCTATCCGATATAATTAATAAATAACGTAATTCTTATTATTTGTCTGTATAAAACAATGTACTTAATATACACATAAAATAGTATGTATGAGAAATGTAAGAAAACGGATCGAGTGTTCTAATAGAAACTATTAAGAATGGCATCGCGTGTATTACCTTTAGTTAAGGTACTTAAGCTTAAATGCGCGCATCATTAGCTGTGAGCTTCCATTCACCAATGTGTACGTTGGAGTCTGCGGATGATAAAAATAAACTAAATAAATAAACCATCGCGTATACACTCAGTGGTGGGTCTTATTCCCACGAGTTCAAAGAGTACCATAATGTCCACGTTCCCACAAAAAAGGGATGTACGCACGACGGGGCATGAACAACGAGTATAATATCGTACATTTAGACAAGTTTTACAAGCGAATGTCAGACATAAATGACCACCTCGAAAGTCACCTTATACAAAATTGCATTGATTTTTCATATTAAAAACGCGATCGACTTAAGAATACAAGTAGAAATGATTCGGCAGAAAATCGTGCGAATTTATTATTTACATAGTGTCCGTGTTCGCAAAGAAGAATAAGTACGATAAACTGGTTTATGTCAATTTTAATATATATATTTTAATATAATTCCAATATATAGAAATGCAAATTTTGGGGGCTACGTCAATGTAATGATAATAAAAGGAATATAGCGAATATGAGAAAAGATTTGATAGAAATGCTATCCAATTTTTGCTAATATATATATTGATATACGTACATAATGTCTCAAATTACAAACTATTCTCTCTTTCAATTATAATACAGAAATCTTTTATAGTTCCTTTAGTCAATTGAATAAATTATTTTCTTCTTGCTATGTTACATACAATTATTATAAGTTAAATATATAATTTTTCAAATAGAAAATATATTGTGGATTATATAATTCCACTCTTTATTTTCCTTTTTTTAATTTTATTTTTAACTCAATAATTCTTTTGGGTTGAACTTTCATATATATATATATATATTTATTTATTTATTTATTTATTTATTTATTTATTTATTTATTTATTTATTTATTTTTAATAAAAATATGTTTTTAAAGTAAATTTTCAAGTTCATAAATATTATTATTACATACGTTTTTTCTTTATAATAAATTACTTAATATTTTATCGTTATCTCATTTTTGTCAAATTCTAACATTTAACAAATTGTGTCTCGGCTAGGAAAGACAAAACTTTGATGATGACTTTTACCAGTTTGATAATTTCAAAATAGAATAGCACGCGATAGCTGGCAGTAATTAAAGCTATTTAACTCTTTACTAAGACTGTAGTGGCGCATGAGCGAAGTTGCGAGTCTGTGAAACAGTAATAAATTTACCAATTACTGTAAATTGAAGAACTTATGCGGGGGAGTAAGATATGAGATAAAGGGTATTCGCTTTATCGTCACTACGCTGCTGGTGAACATTTTCTTTACAATATTCATGTTTATAAATATTACTCGATATCTTTACAATCGACTTTATTATTTATTGAATCTCTAAATGTCTGTAAAAATTTTATAATTAATCGAGCATACTTGTCTGGAATCTTTTTCTCAGAAATTGAATGATTGAATTTTATAAAAACAATAATCAATTGTATATACATCCGTTATTAACTTATATACTTATATATATTTTGATTATATTGATATGATTTAAATTATATAAATTAGTATATTATTGAAATTATGTATATATATATGTGTGTGTGTGTATATATATATATATATATATATATATATATATATATAATAGAAAATTTCTATATAATTTTTGAATTTATATTATGTTTATAGTACATAATTTTCAAATTTATCAAGTTTATAGAGAATTTATACAAATTTTCACATTGTTATTATATAATTAGAATTCATTTTCTTTCTTTAATAATTGTACAATTTTCTTCCTTGTTACGAAATATTTAACATAAATTAAAACTTACACAAGTTCGGTACACTAGCTTCTCTGAATTATCTTTGAATTATTCATGTTTTTAATTGTAATTTATGGTCTTAGCTGTATTCATTGGTCATTGTAGTGCATTATAGAAATGCGTGCAGCACACATATAATACACATACAAAACTTGGCGGAATATATTCTTGTAAGTGGCAGTCTCTCAGAATGTATGATTTTTTGCGTTGGAAATTTTTCTATTAATATATTTTTTGCAGAATTTAATGTTTAATATACAGGCATATATATTCTTTTTCTTTCTAAAAGAATAAATTCTATTACTTAATTTTCTATCCTTTATTGAATAGAATTTCAGTTTAAATTTTTAACATGCTAATATTCTAATTAAATAGTTTTAATTGATAATTTTTCAATTTTTAAAATAAGTATCTCATTTCTTACTTTTTTCTTACATTTCGTTTACAAAACAAGTCATTTCACTAGTGAACGATTAATACTTAGTTTAGCTAATAAAATCATGAGTCAGCAAGACGAGTCGCGACATGATTCATACAAGAAGAACGTACATCGGGACATCTTTTACTTTATATTTTAAAGTAAAAAGATAACAGTTATAAAAAAACAGCTTGAAAAATAGATTTACAAAAATTTGAAAGAAAGATGCGGCATTAGATGACATTGACATTGTAATGAATCTTATGAAAATTTATTCCTAAATTTATTCCCATCACACGTATATGTATTGTTGGTTAATTCAATGTTCAGAAGATTCGTGCAATTCGCAGCATTTTAGAACCTCTTTAAACAAAGACAAAAATAGAATCAATTCTAACATTTCAAATAATTTGTCAATTTTAAAAATGATCGAAATAAATAATAGTTTGGAAAGAAAAATAAAAGATGACAAAAATTTTTATAAAAAAGACAGAAGGAAATTTTTAATTATATTAGGTATATTAGATAGTTAAAGTTGAAGATAGTTAAAGAAGCAATTAGAGAAAGAAAAGTGAAAAATATTCTCACTGTACTTGCTCCGTGAATAATCATCAATAGTATCGTGAATAGCCGTCATCATAGTATCATGAATAGTCATCAATCGTGATATCATATATGCTGACAAAAGGATCAATCGGAGATATATCATATATAGCTTGACAATTCAATTAAAAAATTAAGTAAATTTGTTTATAATTAACTTCCTTTTTGCTACATTGACAAAAGTTTTTCGTTTCTTTTGGAATAAGATTCCTTAAAATAAATTTTACAAAACATATAACTTTTATAATATGAGTAATATTTAATATTTAGAAATAAACTGGAATACTATATGTTATACTTTATTTTCAGTGATGAATTCTTGTAATGAAGATCATCACATGGCAGTGGCAGCGGTCATATCAAATATTTGGTCACAACAAAAAGTAAAAGAAAATAATGAAAAGAATGATTTTTTTATTTTTTTATTTTGTCTGAAAAAATCAAAATCATATAAAGCATAATAATCCCAGCTTAATAATTAATAATTCTATCATAATCAACTATAATTTCAATATCTTACATTTAATATATGTCATATTTAACGCTAAATATCACATAAATACGTTTTAATTCTAGATATTACCTAATTTTCAAATCAAATTCACAAGTGAAAGTATTAAAAATAGTGTCATGATAAAATATGTGACATCTGCGATAAATGCGTGGCTTCGTTGCTGTGCGTATACTTATTCATCACTGCGCTAGTCTTGATATCTAATCTCGTAGCAGGAAAAACTATTGTTGATAAATGTGGAGTTATATGAACTAATTGCTCATTGCGGAACATATCCGTTCACGCGATGACATTCTTTTGCAAGGGCGTGTATAAATTAAAATATCTCATGAAAAGGAGAGAGGAAGGATAAGCTAAGTCATAGTTATCATCCTTTTATAATTAATTCCTATTGATCCTTATTATTCTTTTTCCAAAAGATGAAATATTAAAATATTTAAAAAAAATCAAATTTACATATTATAATCCATAAACGAAAAATTAAGTAAATTTGTTTATAATTCTACATTGACAAAAGTTTTTTGTTTCTTTTGGAATAGATTCAAGATTCCTTTAAATAAATTTTACAAAACATATAACTTTTATAATATGAGTAATATTTAATATTTAGAAATAAACTAGAATACTGTATGTTATACTTTATTTTCAGTGATGAATAATCAATTGCTTATATCATGAATATTACACGTTCATGATAAAAATTTATAGATATAAATAGAAATATTGAAATTTAAATTTTTAATTTGCCCGTTATTTGTTAGCCTCCAATCTACTGCACGATGCTTTTTGCAACGGGCCGCTGACTTAGGCGCGTGGGCGGCTCATTGCCCATCCATTGCGACGACATATATGCACGCGACAGCATCATTATGACTTAGTAGAGTCCGGCCACTGCCCTTCGCAACATTACACCTATCGGCAAACAGTGCGCGAGACAGTAGCCAAGTTACTATACGCACATTTTCACGTAATTCTTCGGCTTCGAGCGCACGGTACTCGTGTAGGCGATCTTAATCTCGGTTTCTCATGGCAAGATAGCGGAAGGTATGACTCGTGAATGAGTTCATTAACGTGTTCGACATACGTCTTCTTTCCTCTATAACGATACTGAAGGTGAAATCTAACTATATGTATAATCGGAGAATAAGTAGCTGTGCGTTGTACAAGTTCGTTTGTTGATGAAGTTATAACTTTACAATATATACATTGGTATCACGCGTTTAACATTTTTTTTTTACGTTAATTAGAGGTAAGATTGATTAATTGCATAATTATAATTTTCACTGTCGTGTAACTTAAGTTTGATATAGAAATAAATGTAACGTTATAAATCTCAAATAAAATATTTCATGATAGATGGGTTTGATACAGGTGACAGTATTTCTTATTGGAAATTGAATGACAAAATTGTCTAAAGACAATTACATTAATTTTTTTTAGAGTCATATCATATATATAATTAATTTTATAAACATTTTATTTTTAATCTTCTTTGAAATATAGGAGAAACTCTGAAAGTATCAAGATATCAAGATATTTAATTACATTTTAAAAAATAAAGTAAAAATCTAATTAAATTTTAAACTTAAATTCTAAATTGAATTGTGGAAAGAAGAATCACTTTAGTTTTCAACAAAGGCTACATATTCATCAAATGAAAATATTTCATAAAATATTCGTATATATTTATATAATCTTGTATTTAATTCTCATCACAGATATAATTTTAACGAGGCAATTTTTATACTGAAATCACATGCACATGTATCAGATCTTAATTTATAATTATTGACGCAGATACATATTCGTGTCTTTCGTTTGCTTTTATATTTTACTTATTATCCCGCCTTTGGACTTGTTGCAGCACCGATCGTGACATTTCGTATTATCGACTCGAGGAAGAGGTGAAGAACGGGGGCGGAGGGCACAACGCGCGGCGAGCGCGACGGGACTACCTGACGTATACGTTCAAACGTGACGTAGGGGGGGCGATAGGGTGTTGGCCGTTCAGGTAGGGACGCTTTCGAACGCGTGTGGCAAACATTTCGTAACAACAACGCGGTGGAGGAAGAGTGCTCCTCTCGCGTATCTCTTGAAAGAATACATACGAAAATTCACAATCGTATACACGTCCATTTAATACGCGCCCATGCCTCTTCTCTCATTCTTCGTCAATAATCGGTAAAGAAACTATCAGCCTGCGCGGGAACCAACGAAGAAGACTTTCGCTTTTATCTCATTTATCGCGAAGTGACAGGGAATTTACCGCGTTTCCTCGTAACGGAAAGTGACAGTTTAACGTGACGTTTAAAGTCACACCTGTGTGAATCTATCGCGCGAAGAATGGCCATGCGTAGACAACACGCGTTCATAGGACGCGTTGCTGTTTGTTGCTACTTCTACGTCTTGTTGACGGACATCGTCGCGCTCGCCCAAGACTCTATGTCTGGTAGCCGATACTACGGACGTGACGGTGTGTATGTACCACCACGAGACGCGTTCGATAGGACTTATATATATAAGGATAGAAGGTACGGATATCGGCCCAGCTACCTGGATCCTATTTACAGAGGACCTACAAGGGCACCAGAGGATAGATATCTTTACGATGTGAGTGAGGAAATTCATTTCGCTGCATGTATCATGTGAAAAGATATTTAAATGAGATGTTCAATCAAGATGATTTTTTTAGGATTAATTGATTAGGATTTATACTAATGAAGATTAAATTATTAAAGGAGACAACAGCAAGACTTCCATTACCAGGAATATTGGGTGGCTGGCGCGAAGATCTTCAAGGCAGAGAAAGACCAGATTCTAAAAATTTTAGAGACAGAGATGTAATAGTGAATACAAATTATGGCCAAGTTCAAGGCTTCAAAGTTCGACTGTATGATGATCCAAATGCAAGGCATAGGCCTTGGAATCTGGCAGTAGAAAGAGTCACAAAAAGTGTCGATGTATTTTTGGGTATTCCTTATGCTATGCCACCTACAAAAGAAGGCCGCTTCAAACCTCCTAGACCACACAGGTTAATATAAAATATTTCATAAAACATACTTTTTATTATCTTAATATTCAACAACTGGTACAATGCTAAAAAAAACATTTATTTCTGTGTAGAGGATGGCAACTTTTACAAGCTATTGATTGGGGACCAGCATGTCCTCAGCCTAGCGAATATACTGGGGCTACAAAAGGTGTACGAGATGTTGATGAAGATTGCTTATATTTGAATATATTTACACCTTCTGTAAGTACATTAAATCTATAAAAAAAATAAAGTTTATGTTTAAAATAAATTGCAAATAAATTACACATTAAATAAACTTACACATTTATATCAGATTGGTTCTGGATTAGCAAACAAATATACAGTGATGTTTTATATACATGGTGGTGAATTTACTCATGGGGCTAGTAATTTGTTTCCAGCTCATATATTAGCTGCCTTTTACAATGTTGTAGTAGTATCAATAAATTATCGTCTTGGTGCTCTTGGTGAGTATAATTAAAAAGACACTGTAAAATCTCTGAAGCATTTAATTCACATTATTGATTACATTATTAATCAACAATCCATTCCATTGCATCTTTAGGATTTTTAAGTACTGGTGATGAGAATAGTCCTGGAAATTATGGAATTCTTGATCAAGCTATGGCATTACGATGGGTATATGACAATATAGCCATTTTTAATGGAAATCCTGACTCTATAACACTTTTTGGATCAGGTGCTGGAGCAGCAAGTGCGGGATTATTAATGGTTGCGCCTAGGTAACTGAAATTATATATATATATTGTAATTATATATTGAAATTATATATTTTTTTATTTTGTAGAACTCGACATATGGTATCAAAAGTAATAGCACAATCAGGTTCAGCATTAGCTGATTGGGCAGTGACAATAGATAAGTATCGAGTACAAAATACGTCTCGGGTATTTGCAGAAATGCTTGGCTGTAGTATAGAGAGCAGTTGGAAATTAGTGCAATGCCTAAAAGATGGACGTAGTTTCCTTGAATTGGGAAATTCCGAATTGAAACCACATGTTGGAATGTTTCCATGGGCACCTGTATTAGATATAAACTTTACAATACCTCAAGATAATTGGTATGAGGATTGGAGAGCATCTGACTGGCGTTTTTTTGCAGAAACACCGGAAGAGAGTATTAAAGCTCGTAAATATAGAAGAGATTTAGCGTACATGGCTGGTGTCACAACTCAGGAAGCAGCATTTATTATAAGTATGTTATCCATCAATTCATTTATTATAAGTATGTTATCCATCAATTCATTTATTTTTGTTTCATTGTATTTTTATCTCTTTGCATCTAGAATCATATTATTTATTTTAGTCAATTATACATTATTGTGCTGTAAATTATTATACATATATATCACTTCATATAATTCTTACATTGCAGAGAATAATATTACATTAGCGAGAAATCGATATATAATAAATTCTGAGTTATTCGATCAAAAAGTTTGGGAATTAGTCTTACAGTATAATTATACTCTAAATCCACAAGGTGTCCACGAAGCAATAAAGTATATGTATACATATTGGCCAGATCCAACAAATGTTACACACATACGTGATCAATATATAAATGTAAGTAATATGACAGTACCAAATAAAATTTCTGTTATATAGCATTATTCTTTATCTTGATCGTTATTAATATTTTCAGCTCTTATCAGATTTCCATTATGTTGCACCATTTGATAAAATAGCAAAGCTCTTAGTGGAGAGACACGTACCAACCTACTTATATGTTCTAAATACCTCGATAGAAGCGCTTCATTCGCCGGAATGGGCTAGAGTACCTCATGATACAGAACTTCTGTGGCTAACAGGAGCACCATTTATGGACTCTGGTATATATACATATATATATATATATATATATATATATATATATATATATGTATATACATTTATTTATTTGATTTAAATATTAATAATTATAACATAATATATTAACATAGTTTATTAACATAATATATTAATATAATATATATTAATGCAGAATTTTTCCCACAAAAGTGGAAATTAAGTCGAGATATGTGGACCGACAATGATCGTAATATGAGTCGCTTCTTCATGGAGGCATACTCTAATTTTGCAAAATATGGGTACATATCTAGTAATACTGCTCTACAATTACTTACATAAAACATTTTATAAAATTAAAAAAAATTAAAATAATTTATTTTATTCTTATTTTAGAAATCCGACGCCTTCACAAATTTTGGGATTACATTTTGATCTCGCTCGTCATGGACAATTACGATATCTCAATATCAATACAACATTTAACAGCTCTATTCAAATAAACTATCGTCAAACGGAGAGCGCGTTCTGGTCTATGTATTTGCCAACCGTTATCGGTTATCTTGTTCCTACATATCCTCCTGTTACCGAAGTAAGACTTTGTAATATAACTTTTGTAATGTTTCATGTTATTATTAAAACACGGTTGCATTTATTATATTTACAATTTTTATTACAGTATTGGTGGGAACCTAAACAGCCGCTGCAAATCGCATTTTGGTCAATGTCAACAGCATGTTTGCTGTTACTTGTACTCTCTGTGGTGTGCTGTATGCTTTGGCGTAATGCCAAAAGGTAAGAAAAGGTAAACAGAACCAAATCCATGTAACTGCAATATAACTCGATAGCACTCGCTGCGACCGAATGCGATAGCGCATGCAGAGACTGGTTTTGGTTCATGAATATATTGGGATGTAATTGGAATAAGGTTTCTTTATCTTTTTCTCATATAACCATTTTTAAATAAAATTGCTGATTAATTGCTCTATTTCTGCTTACAATTAGCAAAACAAAAGCAGCTAGAACGAGTGCAGGTATTTACAAAAAAATACTTTATGCACAATTTTGCACACTATTTTGCCTTTTACATATATATGCTTTATTAATTGCACTATATTATTTGTATATTACATTACACTATTTATATAGATAGAGAAATATTTAATTAAAATAAATAAAATAATGTGTACAATCGTTAATTTAATTTCATTTATATTTTATACATATATTCTATGTGCAATATATGTAAAGATATATCTAATATGTTTCTATATGTTTCTTTCTACAGACAATCTGATCACTACTATAGCGGAGACATCCTGATGGTACGAGAGGATGAGCATTCCGAGGGAATCGAGAATTTAACGCGTGCCTCTAAAGAAAATATATACGAATATCGTGATGTACCAGTAAAATCCAGAATACCACGTCAAAACGAAGGAAGATTACAAGAACGTCTAGCACATAACAGAAAATTTAGTTCTACACCCTCATTACGTAGTAATTCTAATGTCTCTTTGAAAGATATGAGATCGGAAGGTTTTGTCACAAGCTCGCCTAATGGTCAGCCTAAATTAACAAAAACAATGAGTCAATCTACACTGCCGAAAGCTAAAAGTAAGACGCTTTTAGTACAAGGAGTACCACAAACAGCTGTTTAATAATTAAGTTACCATTACACAAATCGACATTTATTTAATTTATTTTTTATATCTAGGTTTTTATAATTATATTAATTTTAAAAGATCAAATTATTTGTTCTCATATATAATGCCATATAAAATTAAGTTAAAATTTTTAAAGACAATTTTATATGCAGTTGTGAAAATTGGGAAAAATGTAATAATTTAATAGGCATATATGAATTGAAAATAATTAACATTATTTTTATAAAAATTTTAACATATCTTTGTTTATTCTAAATAATATGCAAAAATCTATTTGTTATTAATTAATTTACTTTTTATGCAATCAATGTATTTACAAATCAAATTATTAGTCATATCTGTATTCTGAATATAGCATGACAATGCCATGTGCATATAAAACTATTAAGTTAATAATTAATGAATTTTTTAAATTTTAATTCTTATAACGTATTAGATTATTTTATAAATTTTGTGAGTAGTAAAAAAGCACTTAAAAGGTAGCTACTTTATTTCCGTCCATAAAAACAATCATTGTTATATAAATGAAAAAACATTTATAATATTTTATATATATAGAATGTGTGTGTGTGTATGTGTACGCGCACACGCGCGCGCGTGTATGTGTGTGTATGTGTATGTGCTTATTTTTGAATATTTAATATATTCATTACATTATATACATTCGTGTATATGTATGTAGTACGTTTAATTATCCATGATACTTGCAGGCAGGTTTCAAATGCAACATTTCCTGATTTAATACGCAATTCATTATATATTAAGTAAATAGTTATATAGTATAGAATATATAATCAGAAGTAGGCTGAGTGCCTTATTCATTATAACAATTAAATATATAAGTGCACAAATATTTTATACAGTTTATTGTATGTGTTTAATATTTTTACATCTTAAAAATGTAGTTTTAATATTAACGCGATCTCATTGCCACTGTACTTGTAAATGTAAGTCTGACACTCCTGAGATTAATGCTACATACACATCTTCATAGAGCAATTTTCAATATTTGTATTTAAAAATTGTGCAACACTATTTTTATGATAAAGAAAGTAATTTATAATTATGTAAGAATACTGCACACAAGATTGTATAAAGAATCTAAAATTCTATCAATATATCATTATAAATGTATAGTATAAATTATACAATTATAATATTTTGTACACATTTTTGTTATTTATTTACAAAACTAAAACCACCAATCTTTATATCAAAAAATGAAAAATAAAAAAATTCTAACAAATTGTCAAGAGATTTTATTTTAAGCCATGATATAATAAAAGACTTAATCATAAGACTTAAAATTGTGCATTATAAATTCATAATTTTTTTATTAGTACAATATTTATCTGTTTATATTTTCTTAATACTTTTTTTGTTGTTATGAGAGTTTTATTTTTATGATACACATCTTGTTAAATCTTTTAAAATTATAAAATTGTAAAAATGTTCTTATCTTTCCTCTTTTCTTTCTAAACTACGATTAACTTCGACGACTATAATAAAAAATTAAAAAATTATATCTCCCCAATTTACTGTATATCAAGGATGGACTTTATTTTTGAAAATATTTGAAACTATAAATATTTCTTCAGTGTTGAATGATTGATAGAGATAAAATATTTTCGTATTTTTTGTTTTGTTTGATTCGATCTTTAACTGAACGCATACTTCTAAATAATTATCAGAGAGAAGAATAAGAGATGCCATGGGACTTACCGGAAATAAGTCAGCGCTGAAAGTTCATATTTTTACTTATTTTCGATATCCGTAATTCATTAATTGCCAACATCGATGTCAAATTCTTCGCTGGAAACGTATTCTGAAATATTAGGAAACTATTAGGCGAATATAATCAAGTTGGAGGTAGCACTAGTAAAATTACCTAACTACATTATCGACTGTTTAAATTACCTTTAGCGGTAGTTCGCTGGATTATCGACGGTCGGTCTTTTTCTGTTAATATTACCTCCTATCCGATCATATTCGCCTAATATTTTCCTAATATTTCATCCGCCTATTTCAGAATATATTTGGAAGCTAGAAAATCATCGATGTCGGGTGAATAATCCGCGAACTGTAAATATTAAAATTATGAAATATTAACAAAACATCCAACGAATATAATTAGATAAAAGGTGGCACTAATTAGAAATTCAAGAATTGCAAGTATTTCTAAAATTTTAAGTATAAAACTTTGTACCATAAAAATATAAATTCACAAATATATTAAATTCTTGAAAAAAATGTATGTTTTTATAAAAAATTTACTGTATTTACTATAAAAAAATAAAATGGAGATTTAAAAAATATATATTATTCTATCAGATATCCCTTTCGAAATATCGTATAATTACGAATTTTTTATAAATCAAACATATATTCATCATATGCAGTTAATCATTCAGCGGTCAGATTATATATATATTCGAAGTCCTGAGTTACAGACCAACAACTGTCTGTGACAGTTGATTGCAGTTAATTGAATCAATTAATCGAATTAAACGATTGCATTTCGGTTCGCTATTTCGATATATATAAATATTTAACCAATTAATCGAACTAGAAATAATTTTTCAAGAGACAAATTATATGAATTAAAAATATATTCGTTCGTAATCATTTTTATCATAAAAATTTATATAAGTTAATATATTAATATATTAATTTATATAAGTTAAATTAATTACAATATGAAATAACTTGAAAAATTAAAATTTATACACAACGCTATATTCATATTTAATCTACTATTAAATCTTTCTAGCATTATATATATAGACAATAATAATATCAATCCTAATAATGATAGAAGATTTTTAACGAAGAAAAGAAAAGATACATTTCTCTCATCTAAATATATATTATTTAAATTAATTCGACGTTAAAGAAACGTATCATTGTTGAATTACTACCAAAATCATTGTTTCCGGAAATTGCCAGGAAAACCTGGGATTAGTTCCTTCAATCTTACAATAAAAATTCCCAATTTTCAACAGGGCACCGAACTAGACATCGCGAATGGATCTCACAAAAAGCGGTGAGAAATAATTCTCCATGATGAAAATCGTTTCGACTCCTCGGCGAGCTATGCAACTTTCATTAATATTTTAACGGAAGGAACAATGATAACTCTTTTATTAAAACGACAATCTCGTCTAAGAACGCGAAAAGAACGTGGGAAAAATACGATGATTTCGCAACCATTTATTAATTTATGTATGAATATTTTCCAATACAAAATTCGTAAATGCAAATATAACTGAAAAAACAAATTATTAAATTCATAATAATTAACTCGTGATTTTATAATATCGAAGGTGATCATTAAATTTTGTAAAGTTAATATTTAATCGTTGTCTTATCACATCGAATTTTACCTCTCTTATTCGACATTTCTTTATATTTAATTAGCAATATTTAGGAATATTATCTGACGAGAGGGACAGCGATAAAATTCTTTTGTTAAAATATAATTTATTTTAACTGAAATAAAGCCAAATTACTACAAATTTCTATAAATTATATTTTATAATAAAATATAAAATTAATGTGTATATTTATTATTACAAATTTATCATATTACAAATTATTTAATTAATTAATCATTTGGCTTTATATTAAGTTAAAGTAAAGTTTAAAAACAATATCTACAAATAAATTCTACGATGGATGAGCTATGAGCAATTAGAAAATAAGTGCGTATTATAAGAATAAATTAGCATCAAAAATTGATAAAATTGATAATTGTTAATAGGTGTTCTTTATTTAATAAATTAAACAAAATCTTTACAAAAAAATCTTTTCTTGATCTCTTCTTTTTTAATTAATATTTCAATATATTTTCGCAATAGATGTAAAGCATAAGTTCGAAAGGACTTATTAAAATTATTTAATTTAATTAATTTAATTTAATTATATTTATTTATTTAATTTAATTTATTTAATTTAATCCATCCTAGCTCATCCATTTTAAGGCAACAGATTTATCTACGATCTACAATCTACATCTACATCTACAATCTCTACGAATCCATTACCTTAAAGTTAAATAAAAGTTTTTCTCACTCACCGACACTGATGCGCAACAGCGGAGTTGTAGTTATCGAAGTTACGTCTGTAACATACAAATATAAAATTCATTTATAATAATGCTCACAAAATGCAATTAATATTTTAAAAAATTTTTATCGCGCGGAATTTTATATCCGATATGTAAAATAATAAGCAGATAAACACGTATGGAAAAATGTTATAAATTTTTGAAACTGTTTTTTAAATAGAAAATTTTATATGACTTTTATAAAAATCTTTCTCTTTAAATCATTTAAATAACAAGATCGAATTATTATTCGATTTATAACAAGTTAACGATTTATAACAATTAATATATAAATAATAGATATTCACCATCAGGTTGCTCCGCCGGTGCAGGATGCCTCTCCCAGGCCTCCTCCTCCTCTCATGTTGGCGCGCGATACTTTGACACTCCCGCACTCGCGAGCGATATTTTTATATCGCTATTTTCGTTATTTTTACTCGCGATACTGAACGGCACTCCCGCACTATTTCGATGCGATTAAAAATTTTATATTTGATCACGCGATGTATATACTTAATATGTATATACCTTTAACGGCACTCTCTAAAATGTATATACCTAACGCGACGCGTTGACGAAGCGCTTGCCGTCCGCGGCACATTGACGGCACCGACGACGCGAAAGGGTACTTAGCTTCCCATTCAAGCACCTTAAGATTTATCATAAATCGAAAAATTTTAAATAAATCTCAAGGCACCATCCAAGTACTAAGCCCTCCCACCGCGACAAGGTGTACCCCATGGGAGGGTTATATTATATATAATTTTATATATAATATAATATATAATTAATTTTGTAATATACTATATAAACTTTAATTCGCAAATATAAACGATAAATAAAAATATAAAAGATAAGAGAAAATCTATAAAGCAATGTTCAAAATAATTGATTTTAAAACTAATTATTGCGCGGAATTAATTTTTATATTTTTACTTTTAAATAGATATATTTTAATGTTATAAATTGCACGAAAAGTTCCTCGTTGCATTTGCAATTGTGGTTAGAGAAAGAATTTGATAATATATGGAACGTCTCACATCACTACCTCACTGCTCGAGAATCACTGAGCGAATGATGATCGTAAGTCAGAAATATTACTGCGGTAATGTTTATAATATCGCCAAGATTGATTATGTAGAAAGAGAATTTGATAATATATGAAACGTTACTACTTCATGGTTACTGTGCGAATGATCGTAAATCATAAACATTACCGCGATATTGTTTATATCGCCAAGGCCGTGATACTGTTTATATCGCCAAGGCCTTATACTATGTTATTGTTATAATAATTTGTCGTTGAAATATTCTATGAATAATTGTCGATAAGAAAATTTAAAGAAATTTAAGAAAATTTAAGAAAATTTAAAGCATTGGTCAAAATTTATTTAATTCTAATATGTTTCGTTAGAGAAATTATTATAATAATGATCATTAATAATCGAAAGATCATAAAATTAATTTCTTTATACCCTTTTATGTTTTCTTTTTCAATTTTTATTCGCAGTAATTAATGATTGCGATTCGTCGATCGCGATAAAGATTTATCGTTGCGTCATTTTCATGACGTTTATCATAAGTTAATTTATTTTTAATTATTAGTAATTATATCAAATTATGTTTCGATACTAATTGTAATCGTGTTTAGAAAAAAAATTCGACAATATTCGAAGCCTTTCTCACCACTACTTTATTATTCGAGAGTCACCATGCGAATGATGACAAAGCGGTAACGTATAGCGCGCTACTGTTTATATTTTATATTGCCAAAGTCGAACGCCGTGTTATTGATAATTCGTTGCCGAAATATTTTATATATTATAAAATATACATTAACGTGGAATATTAAATTATGAAAGTATTTTAATTTATTGATTAATATTGATATTATTTATTAAACGATTTATCACGGAGCTAATTATTTTAATTTATTCGATTATTTTACCGAAGTCAAATTCTATAATATTTAGTTTTGCTATAATATTTTAATATTTATCTAATATTTTAAAAGATTGTCTTATAGTGAGCTAAATAAATAAATGATGTTGAAAAGAAAAAGAAGACATAAATAAATAAATAAATAATAGCGTGAAAAGAGAGAACATACTAATATTTTTATATAATAAATTATTATTAAATTATTAATTAAATTATTTATATTTTTATTTATATTATTTATATTATCAGAGAGACATATGTATTATCCTCTGAGAACATTCGTGGACGTTGGCTTTGTAGTTCATGTTCACGTTTTTAATGTCCACAGAGGGAGTATCGCTTCCATGGATTACCTAAAGCCGTAATCACACTACAGGTTGCGGGCTCGGTTGCGATTGAAATTGACCAATCAGAACAAAGCAATTTCTCGGCCGGCTACTTTGATTGGTCAATTTCAACCGCAACCGAACCCGCAACCCGTAGTGTGACTTAGTGTGACTACGGCTTAAAAGCAGGCTATGACATCTCTCGTCTTCTCTCTGATTATAAGAATTAAATAAGAAGTATTCAAAGATAACCTAATATAGTTAGAAATAATCACAATTAATCTTGAAAATCGGTAATTATAAACCAATACATATACAATTTGTTATTTGATTGTTTTTTACAGAAATTATAACAATTTGCCGGTTATGTTGTTCGCAGTAAAGTAACGCATTAGATGCAAAGTAAATATTTATTATAATTGTGCTAATATATTTCAATAAAAATATACAAAGCTATCTTATAATATCAATAATTTGTTATTTATTTATGATAGAAATGATGTGTGCTTTCAATATTAGTTATGAACAAACTGTTACTTATACGTGTATATATGTATAATCAAGTTTTTAATTGTCAAATAGATTTATGTTACCAAATTGTAGAATTTCAAGATGCAAAAATTTAGGAGAGCTCAAGCACAAAATAAGTTGTCCATCGAAAGACACTTGGAGGCCAACATGTCATTAAATTCATCTAGTGAAGAAGAAGATGAAACAAATGAAGAAGATGTTCAAAATGTAGTGGGCAAAGTATTGTCAGCATATCAGGGACAAAGCACGGATGCAGAGAAAGTGATATCATACTTAATTAATTCTTTCCAATCAAGTAGCGCTGTTTGTTTGATATGCATATCAACTGTCAAGAAGATAGATCCGGTATGTTCATATATAACATGGCATTACTGCCTGATTAATATTTTAATTTGTTAAATATATTTTTATTAAATTTTTACTAAATATATGCAAAATTAAATTTCTGCAATTTTTGTCTATATTTATATACAAGTAATAATATTTATACAATTTTAAAATATAAATTTTTAAATTGTTATGTATATTATATATTTTCTCAGTCAACTTTGTTTAAATTTAAAAAAAAAAAAATATATATATATATAAGTTTTCAGTACAAATACATGTATAATAAAGTAGTTTCTTATTATTATTCTGCTCTTTTTATATAGATATGGAACTGTAACAAATGTTATGCATTTTTGCACATGTCCTGCATCTTACGTTGGATTAATGACAGTTTAAGTTACAAACAGGCTAAAGGAATCATACCAATCTGGGCATGGTATACATCATAAAATATTCTAAAAATAGTTTCATATAATACATAGAATACATATATAAGTTAAAAATTCTATTTAATTTTGACCAAAAATACATATATTACAGCCCAAAATGTCGCATGGAATATAACCAGGATCAGATTCCAAGATCATATGAATGTTTCTGTAAAAAGACTATAAATCCTCCATATCAACCCTGGATAATTCCACATTCTTGTGGCGAAACTTGTAGCAAGCTCTTACAACCAGAATGTGGTCACAAATGTGTATTGCTCTGTCATCCTGGCCCATGCCCACCATGTGCAAAGATGGTGTCGGTCAAATGCTATTGTGGCAAGCTACTGCCGCAGCCACGTCGTTGTAATGCTAAAAATTGGAGTTGTGGAACAGTATGTGATAAAAAATATGAATTTTGCTCGCACACTTGTAATAACTTGTGTCATGCTGGAGAATGTCCCCCTTGTATGGAAATAGTATCACTGAAATGCCACTGTAAGAGTAATCAAAAGGAAGGAAAATGCTATGAAGGTACGTGGAGTTGTGAGAGACTTTGTAATAGAAAATTCTCTTGTAATGTACATATTTGTGAGAGTACATGTCACTTACCCGATGATTGCGGTAATTGTCCACTGGAGAAGAATAGATGTTGTCCTTGCGGGAAAAAACGATACGATGTTTCGTGCAGGCAGCAACAAGTACCAACGTGCGGCGATACTTGCGGGAAATTGTTAGACTGTGGATCACATTTCTGCAATATGAGATGCCATATTGATCGTTGTGGTCAGTGTCTGGAAGTAATAACAAAAGCTTGCAGATGCAGCAGTTATACAAAAGAGATTGCTTGTGGAAAAGAATTTCACTGCAACAAGAAATGTACACAAATGCGCTTATGTGGCAGACACCTATGTAATAAAAAATGTTGCGATTGCATATTGAAGAATACATCCAATCCCTGTGAAAAAACGTGCGAAAATATGCTTAATTGTCGGAAGCACAAGTGCGCCGCACCTTGCCACAGTGGTCCTTGCTATCCATGCACGAGAATGGACACTGTACAATGTCGATGCGGCAGTAGTAAAATAACAGTGCCATGCGGTACCAGGAAAAGAATCAAACCGCCACCATGTAATAAATCCTGTAAAATTCCGCCTGATTGTCATCACAACAAAAGGGAAACTCATAGATGTCATCAAGGACCTTGTCCACCATGCAAAAAGATCTGCGGCTTGATACACAAAAGATGCGGTCATTCTTGTCCAGCCACTTGTCACACGAAGGTCTGGGTGAAGGTCAAAGCGAACGGAGTAAAAGCACAACCTATTGGACCTTGGGAAAAACCTGGTAAAGACATTATGGAATTGAAGACTTTACCATGTCCACCATGTGAAATTTCCGTGCTCGTGACCTGTCTCGGCGGTCATGAGACGCGTCCCTGGCCGTGTCACATGTCAAAGCCAAGCTCTTGCGGCAGGGCTTGTGACCAACTATTGCCGTGTAAAAATCATACCTGCGAATTGACCTGTCATAAGATACAAACTTCTGATAACAAATCAGACAGTGGTATACCATGTATGGAATGCGAGAAGGAATGCCAATTCGTACGTTTATCGGGTTGTACGCACGCATGTCCGGAACCTTGTCATCCAGCGCCTTGCAAACCGTGCAAGCAATTGGTGCGAATCTCTTGTCACTGTGGTATTAGTACCCTTTACCGACATTGTGTAGACTTGATAACTGCGACAAATAAGAAACATGATGAATTACTCAAATGTGGAAACCAGTGTCCAAAAAATGTAATTACATTCATGTACTCTTGATGAAATGTATATAAATTTTGCTTCTTTTTTAACAGAAAGTATAATGTGTTTTTTCATTTCAGTATTCATGCGGCCACCGTTGCATTAATGATTGCCATCCAGGAGAGTGCAAAGGACAGGAGCAATGTAGCAAGAAAGTTAGATTATGGTGTAAATGTAAAAGAATTAAAAAGGACTTTCTTTGTTTGCGTCTTCAAAAGGAGCAAATTACTGTAGAATGCGATAATGTGTGCGAATCATTGAAGATTGAGAAAAAGGAGGCTCAAGAAGCTATTATAGCAAAGAAACGAGAAGCAGAAGAGTTACGTAATCGGGAAGAAATTGAGAAATTTGAAAAAAAGTTCAAGCCACGCCGAAAGAGGAAAGATAAGTATGAAAATTCGAAATTATCCCAAGGAAACATGGGGAATAATTGTTGGAATACATGGATTTTAGCGATTGTTGTAAGCATTATAGGTATAGTAATAGTATATATGATTTCTTTTGATTCAAGTATGCTTAAAATGAGTTGATTCTACAAATTGATCTGAAATTAATGACACTATACAATGATCAATTTACAATAATAATCATATATCTGTGATTATCAATGCTTGTACAAATATTATAAGAAACATTTTCATGTAGCTTGTATATATCATCAATGAAAAAAATTACAATGCGAACATCATATATATATATATATATATATATATATATATATATATATATATATATTTATATATTTATATATATTTATATTTAATATTAATAATGATAGACTGAGAATAATTATTTAGAGAAATTTGATTTTCATGAGATTTTAACAATTTTTTAATCAAAGTAAGATAATTTCAAAGAATTTAAAAATAAAAATATAAATTGTATTTATTAAGTATAGATAAAAAAACAAATCATTAAATATGTAACTTTTTAAGTATTAAACAATTGTCATGTTGTATATAAAATAAATAGTTCTTAACACATGAAAATAAATAGAATAAAAACTTAAAATAATGATAACTAAAATAAAAAATACATTTTTATATTAAAATTTGATTTTAATAAACAAACCATAAATATTAATATTTTAAGAAGAAAATATAGTTAAGTTTTTATTTTTTCTAAATATATAAAAAAAGAATGATACATATTTGAAAAAGGACCCTTTCATAAGAAAATTAAAATAAATTAAAAAATAGAATTGTATACAATATTTCACATTTCCCATATGCATCTTTTCCATAATAAATGTTTGGATCAAAAAATTTCCTTTTCAATTCTTAGTGTATTTATAAAATTTTAATATTAAAAAAAGTAAAAAGAGATTAAGAAAGTAGCGCAGTTACGCAGTACGTTACAAATTAATAAGTTACACACGACTCAATAAAAATCTTGTAATTCGATACAAGGAGAAAGAAGGAAAAAACAAAAATAAATCTCAGAGTTCTATATCATAAGTTTATGATTGCGATAATCCTGATTCATGTCGCGAACATCTGCGATTTTACCAGTTGAAAAATGGATTTGGCTAAATCTTATCAGCAACGAAAATAGACGCGATGGCGCTAGTGTAGGAGGGATTTTGATGAAAAATGCTGGCGTGGCCGCTCTCAAGCTTCTCTCTAATGGTAAATACTCTCTGTTGTTGACGACGGTGGCGGTGTTGTTGGCGCAACGAAAACTCACGTTAGCGTGGCGGTGCTGTTGTACCGGACTCGTCTCAATTATGTCACTACATTTGCATTCACGGATGCTTCGGTAAGCGATCGGTGAACGCTCGTTATCTTTACAATCGTCATCGTCGAAACAGAGGATCGAGACTCTCGCAGCTGCGGATGAAAGAGAAGATCGGATCCCCTCAGGTTGTTGACAGAAGTGCGATATATCCCTCTTGGCCGCGATTCTGTATCGTGTCTGTCTATCTCTCTCTCTTTCATTGTCTCTGTCCGATATTCTGCCTCCTCGTTCCGTCTCTCACGCTCTTGTACAGTCATCGCTTTTCGCCTCGATCGTCAAAAGCGCGTACCTCTCGGCGCGTTTAGCGTTTCGCTCGCCAGGCCGGAGAAAGAAACAGTGTTGGAGCTTGCAAGAGAGAGACGCCGTGAAACGCGTCGTTAAATGTGCTCGCCCGTCATCGGTTCTCTCTACGTTGAATCCGCGAGTATGATTCGGCAGTGATTCCACTCGTCTCCTCGCACGGCAACCACGGTGGTTTGCGATCATCGGCTGTTCCCGATATATCCAAATGTGTGCTCGCTACGCTTAAAAAGAAGCAGCGGTATCAATGTGTACGCGGTGCCACGCGATTATCGTAGCAGCATCGTCGGGAAGGCATTAACTGGGAAGGAGAGGACCCGTTGAGCACGCGTTGAGATCGAAAATTCGACATGATGAAGAGCAGTGCTCTGATGAAGAAGGAGAGCAAGATGCGCATACGTGCTTTTCCGGTGAGTGATACGAGAGTTTGAAGCAGGATTCGATGAAGTCGAGGGAGCACAACACCATTGCTCCTCTTCCCCTCTTCATGTTGAATCATTTTATTTATTTATTTCGAGTCTCTTTATCCGTCCCTATCGCGCTACACCATGCGTGTACAAACATAATTCCATAACCTACCTATGTATCTCGCACACAACTGGAGAGTAGAGTATAATTGCACCTCTCTCTCTCTCTTTCTCTCTCTCTCTCTCTCTCTCTCTCTCTCTCTCCTCTCTCTCTCTAACTTATACTCCCCGTTAAATGCAAGTCGAGTATCGAATTGTGACGGCTTGTATCATAACGATTTCATTATTATCCAACAAAGATATTTCATTGGAATGCAAAATTTATGCTTGTTCACGCGAATATAATCGTTAAATATCTTTATCGTTAAATATCTTTATTACTCGCAGTTTATAATATGTCTGTCAACTCTCGCGTTTACTCGCATGTAACTCAATTTCACTATAATTATCACATTTTTTAATAGTCTTCAGAGAGAAGTTTAAATGATGTACCATCTAAGTAATGGCGAAAAATATGAAATCAGATGATATTAGATTAAATTTAAATAAAATTTCTGCAAACATAATTAATTATTTACAAATAATTAGATATAACTCATTACATCATCTTAAACATATTATCTCATAATATTGACATAATGTATATCTTTATGTAATAATTAATTACATTGATTAGACATATTAATTTGAATCGACATTTATATGATTACAATAATTAATTCCTTTCAAATCAGCATCAATTGTGGATTAATTACTAAGAAACTTTGAAATAGACATAATAATATATATGAAATTGATAAATTGTTAATATAAAATAAATATCATTCGTTACATCAACATCTTTAATTAGATTCCTTTAAAAAATTACATGTGCAATGATATATTTTGTACATATTTTGTCCAATAAATAAAATTTAATATATTATAAATATGTCAACATTTAACACTTATCTTTTACTTTTTTTGTAATTATGTACAGGTACACATGTATTATGTATATTATGCATTTTTATATTACTGAATTACTATTAAAGTCAACAATCGTTGATGGTTACCATAGCAGTATAAAACAATTGCAATATGGATATATGCTATCTAGTCAGGTTATATCACATGTTCTAAATTTTTAATATTTTACTATTTGTCAAATTTATAACTAGTAATGTCTTACTTTTTGTTATTGAATTTTTATTACTGAATAACATAAGGTAAAATGATGATAATAATTTTATTTACAAAAAATTAGCTTTTTTTATAAAATGATAATAAGAACATCTATACTTTGTATATTATATACACACACACACACATAATTTATTAGATTATATTATTCAAACTAAAAAGTATGTTATATATGAATGTATTTATAAAATATACATGATCCATAGTTTTTGATTAATAAATTTACATTATATAAATAATATGAAAATTCCATTGATTTAATTAGAGATTTTTATTTTACTTTGAATTTAATACTAAATCTAATTATATTGTATTAGTTGGATAATGTTATTTAAAAGTAGATATTAGTTTGCATTGCTTAATGATTGATAATATCAAGAATCAAATTACAGATAAAACATTTAATTAATATACCATATTATTAAAAACAAAACAAATAATTTTCTCTGTCTCTAAAGTAAATATATATTTTTGTAATGAAGGTGTGATTATATTACATTTATTTTGTGTTGCACGAAACAAAACATACAAATAAAATTTGTATATAAAAAAATACATTTGCACATATATGAATTATCAAACTGCAAACTATGATCTGCAGCAAATAGGTAGAGTGGCTAAGACAATCCCTATATCAGGATTAATATAAGTATGTAATAACAAAAACAGTCTTTTCATAATTTATCACACTCTTGTGAGAATTATTATATGTACACTTTGCTTTTATACTTATGTAAGCTTACACTTAGCATTTTTTTATAAACAGTTGTATTAATTGCATAGCATCTGTTCAATAAAAATCAGTAGAGATATTTTTAGTCTTATCCAGAATTAATTGATTACTATTTATACTATTTTATTTTCTTAGACTACTATGGATGAAAAGTATGTAGAAAGCATTTGGGCTTTACTGAAAAGTGCTATTCAAGAAATACAGAAGAAGAATAATTCTGGCCTCAGTTTTGAAGAACTCTATCGCAATGCTTATACAATGGTTCTTCACAAATATGGTGAACGCTTGTATACAGGATTGAAAGAAGTCGTAACACATCATCTTGAAAACAAAGTACGGGAAGATGTTCTTCGATCTCTGCATAATAACTTCCTGCAAACTTTGAATCTTGCATGGAACGATCACCAAACATCAATGGTGATGATTAGGGATATATTAATGTATATGGACAGAGTGTATGTTCAACAGAATGATGTAGACAATGTGTATAATCTTGGATTAATTATTTTTCGAGATCAGGTAATTATCATAAATATTTTATTTTTATTAAATAGTTCAAAGAACTTTGAAATCGTATATATATAAAATTCTATTCTCTGATATGATCAGTCTTTGGGATGATTATATTTTACATATTTGTAAAATTGTTATACATATAAGTCTTTAATATACTTTTAATCTTTTCATAATATGTCATGTTAGTAAATTGTTTGTTATAATGCTTTTAGGTCGTTAGATATGGATGTGTTAGGGATCATTTACGCGAGACATTATTAGGTATGGTTGCAAGGGAAAGAAGAGGAGAAGTTGTAGATCGTAGCGCTATAAAAAATGCCTGCCAAATGTTAATGTTACTTGGAATTAACAGTCGTCAAGTTTACGAAGAAGATTTTGAAAGGCCTTTTTTACAGCAAAGTGCCGAGTTTTATAGAGTAAGTGTCTAGTACAAAATGTATTTAATACGAGCACCTATACATGTAACATTCAAGATTATTTTTTTCAGATGGAATCTCAAAAATTTTTGGCAGAAAACAGCGCCTCAGTATACATAAAAAAAGTTGAAGCTAGAATTTGCGAAGAATCTGAAAGAGCAAAACATTATTTAGATGAATCCACCGAACCACGAATAGTAGAAGTTGTAGAAGAAGAATTAATCAAAATCCACATGAAAACCATTGTTGAGGTGTGTTATCTTGTTTTTATTCTAATTTTATTTTATTAATTGCTAATGTAATTTAGCTTATACCATGATATTATAATATATATATTATATATTAATTCATCATTTCTATATTAGATGGAAAATAGTGGTGTAGTACACATGCTCAAAAATCACAAAACAGAAGATCTTAGTTGTATGTATAAGCTATTTTCAAGAGTGTCGGACGGATTACGCACCGTGTGCGATTGTGTGTCTCAATTTCTTAGAGAGCAGGGTCGAGCTCTGGTGCAAGAAGAGCATGAATCAACCACAAATGCTGTTCTTTACGTCCAAAACTTGTTAGATTTAAAGGACCGCTTTGATCATTTTCTACATTATTCTTTCAATAACGATAAAAATTACAAACAAATGATCGCATCGGACTTTGAATATTTCCTTAATTTAAATCCAAAAAGTCCGGAATATCTCTCACTCTTTATCGATGACAAATTGAAGAAAGGTGTTAAAGGAGTTAGTAATCACATACATAATTACATCGCAATCGCAATGTTAATAATCGCATATCAACATCGCATTATATTATTTATATAATATGTTTGATTTTAGATGACAGAGCAGGAAATTGAAGGAATTTTAGACAAAACTATGGTCTTATTCCGATTTTTACAAGAAAAAGATGTATTTGAACGGTACTATAAGCAACACTTAGCCAAGCGATTATTGTTAAATAAATCTGTTTCAGATGATAGTGAAAAGAATATGATATCCAAACTTAAGGTGAGAACTGGTATTAAGAATTATCTTCCATAATTATTTCATTTATATTTGAATTGCTTATATTGCTATAAAAAAAAAGTAAATAATTAACTTACACCTCGTAGGTTACTTTTTTCGCATATATTGTAAATATCCTTTTCTAAAAATTTTATTTTTACAATATTTCAAAATCACATATCTCAGAAACGAGAAAAGAGAACTCCACAATAAATTCAAAGTGTGTATTATGTAGGAATGCACCTCTTAAAATATATATAAGAAGAAAAGTGATCTATGAGATGTAAATTAATATAAACATGTACCAAAATTAATAATATGCATTTTTAATTCTATTTTTTTTAGACTGAATGTGGGTGTCAGTTTACATCAAAATTAGAAGGCATGTTTAAAGATATAACAGTCAGTAACACAATTATGGATGAATTTAAAGAGCATGTCCTTACAGCTAATGTAAGTATCAAACTATCATAAAGTACAAAATATTAATGCACAAAATAGTTTTTTTTATTTAAGATAATTTTTTAGTTAATTATAAGATAATTTTATTATAATTAAACACATAATTTTGATATTAAAGTATTATATAAGTATTTATTATGTTTCTAAGAGATATTTATATATAATCAAGTTTCACAATATTTTGGGTATGTTTAAAAAAATATGTAAAATATTACTTAAAATATTATTTTTTTTAATTTTATAAACGAATTAATATATATATATATATATATATATATATATATATGTACTTGTTATATATCATATTATCTTGTTATTTGTCTTATAAAGACGAATCTGCACGGTGTCGATATAAGCGTTCGGGTGCTCACAACTGGTTTCTGGCCGACTCAATCAGCCACCCCAAAATGCAGTATGCCCACTGCACCGCGCGATGCCTTCGATGCCTTTCGGCGCTTCTATTTGGCTAAACATAGTGGTCGACAATTGACGTTGCAGCCTCAGTTAGGTAAGCAATTTTTTATGTTTTTATTTATTAATATCTGTAGTTATTGAAGCATTTAATAACAATGGAATAAAAAAATGTTTGTTATTAGGCTCTGCTGATCTAAATGCTATATTCCATGGACCACGAAGAGAAGAAAGTAATTGTGGAGGTTTAGATACTCCATCGTCATCAAGTTCTATTGGAAATGGTAGTAGTGCAAGTGGTAGTTTAGTGAGCCAGCGAAGCAATGCATGTAGTACACCGCGAAAACACATAATACAAGTTTCCACTTATCAAATGTGTGTTTTAATGCTCTTCAATAAAAGAGAAAGATTAACATATGAGGTTAGTGTTTTATAATATGTAAGTTTAAATAATCATTTAATCATTTTCGTATATATGGCATTACATATAAAAAATAAAATATTATTTTTATCTGCATATACATAAATGTATAAATATTGTGTAGGAAATTCAAGGTGAAACCGATATTCCAGAGAGGGACTTGGTCAGAGCATTACAATCTCTTGCCATGGGTAAAGCTTCACAAAGAATTTTACTTAAACACCCTCGTACCAAGGAAATCGAACCTTCGCACTGTTTCTGTGTAAATGATAGTTTTACCAGCAAATTACACAGGTGCATATGATATATATAAATGTATTGTGTATGTGTATATATATATATGTATGTATGTATGTATGTATGTATGTATGTATGTATGTATGTATGTATGTATATGTGTGTGTGAAAAATGTATGTGCGTAATATATAATTAGTATTGCTAATTATTTAAATTATTTTGCAAAGAGTGAAGATTCAGACTGTAGCAGCAAAAGGAGAATCTGAACCTGAGAGAAGAGAAACGCGCATTAAAGTCGACGAAGACCGAAAACATGAAATCGAAGCTGCCATCGTGCGGATTATGAAAGCTCGAAAGCGTATGCCTGTATGTAATTTAAAAATTCTTGTAAATAAAAAATTTACTCTTTTAAATAATATTAATCTATTAATATATATTTTACAAATATAAAAATATACTTTCATGAATCATAGGATATATATTATATACACAGGATATATATTTATATATAAAAAAGTGTAATATTAATATCAAACTTATTTTCTTTTACTAGCACAATATACTTGTAACAGAAGTAACAGAGCAATTAAGAGGTCGATTTTTGCCTTCACCTGTAATAATTAAGAAACGTATCGAAGGTTTAATCGAACGAGAATACTTGGCTCGTACACCGGAAGATCGGTATGTATGAAGCATATTGTATAATAAATCGTAACTAATATTTACAAATCATTGACTAATGATGTATTGTGATTTACAGAAAGGTGTATACATATGTTGCTTAATGCTGAATTCAATATTGGATGTGTACAAACATGTAAGTAATTTGTAATAATATATATTCTCTCTCTTATTGCAAAAAATAATGATTTTTCACATTTTCTTTTCACCGAATCATGACATCATTATTAAACTATCGTCATTTGTAATGTCATTATTGTTATCTCTTTGTTTTTATTTTATTTTTAATTAGACCGTTATATCCAAGGGATGTTCCATGCTAACAAGGTAACTATTTCAAGCAAGAATTATCAATATTGTTAATTATGTTTATCTTTATTTAACTTTAAATTAAACTTCAAATAATCTGTAATATTTTTTGGAGAAATGTACAATTGAAACAATTCTTGAATATTATAAAATACCGACGACATTATGAACATGATTGAACATTTATTTTAACGATAATCATATATTTATATCCTTTATTATATAGTAAAAGATCAAATATAAAGAGAAAAAGAGAGAGACAATGTATTACATTATAGGTGCTGAAAAAGTTATAAGGTGCTTATTTTATTTATATTATTATTTTGTATACAGACATTTTAAAAAGTTTTACTTGGAATTCATTAATTGCATTTATATATATATATATATATATATATATATATATATATATATATTTATTTATTTATTTATTTATCATTTAAACATAAAATAATAAGTATCTCGTACTTGTTGCAATGGAATATCTCTATTTGAGATAAATGGCAAGATATTTTTTTGATAATTGATTAGTTTGGTGGAAAAGGTCAACATGTGTATCAAAAGAATGATACATACTTAGATTTAAATTAGGGAGGCATATTAATTTTTTGTAATAATAGATATTATGTGTATGCTCTCCCTATACTACTCTTCACACATTTCAATTATGTACGCATTTGATTAACTTACTTGTATTATAATACATATATTTACTTGTATTATAATACATGTGTTATACATATGAGTATTCATTATAATAAATATGTGTATTCGAAATTAGATGAACTTTAGTTAAACAATGTATGTTTTTAATAATGCAAAATATAATTAAGTTAATAAAAAATTTAATGATTCGTATTAAAATAATATTGCAATTAGGAACTTTTCTACACTTGTAAGACTGTGATTGTCTACGATAACAAATATTATTCAGATATATCGTGAATTTAGGAAAAAAAATAGTATTTACATATAGTTTTATTTACGTTGATGTTTCAATTATATATGTAAATAAGCGATGTGTGAATGTATTACTAAAAATATAATTGTCTCTTTTTTTTCCAATAATTTAATATTATTTTTAACATCTGCACTCCATATAAACCCTAATTATAAATTTATATATATTTATCTCTACATATATAAAATATATAAATTATATACGAGCGTTAAATCCGCTCATCTATTAAATCTGTTTTGGATATATATTTAAGTTAAAAATGTACTTTTTTACTACACATTTTATTTATTTAAACATCTGAACTTAATAAATATAATAAACATGTACATTCATTCTCTCTCAAACTTAACAATTTCCACCTCTTCCACCTAGCTTTTCAATTATTTCATTACAATTTAATCAAACATTGACTTGATACAATACAGAATATTTATTATAGTATGCCAAAAAAGTGGGATCTACGAATCTATAAGAGATGCAGAATTTGTTTACGGAATAAAATATGTGCATGAGAACTTAAATAAAGATGGAGATCTTAATAAAAATGCTAAAGGATTCAATTCGAACATGTGTTACACAAGGCTCATATTGTAGTGAAAAGAGTGAAATAATCGGCGTATTTTTATTTTTATTTGTATTCTCCTTATTTATTAATAGAGTTTTAATATTTAAACGGAAGTTTTACCCTTTCGTACACAAAATTGAATAAAAATAAAATCCTATAACAGCATTTATTATTCCTCAAACATTCACCCAACATATTTATTCTTTATACACAAATAAAATACATTAGGCAAATATAAAATATCTAATATCTTCAAATTATCCTCATACATGAAGAGTTTCACATATATTGTGTCAAAATAATATATATATATTTACAGCTAAACAGATCTTTTATATATGTATATATCTTTTATATAAATCATGGTCTTTCCCATTCATAATTCTAAAAATAAATGTTAAAGATTTACAGTACAAAAATTATAAGCTCATTATAATAAATTCATCAATGGAAGTTGCAAGATATAATTCACACATATACACAATAATTATATAATTTTTTTGTTATATATATATATATATATATATATATATATATATATAAAATGCATCTTCAATATAATGAATGATAAAAATTAATATTCTTCCTTTGAAACTTAATATTCCTTGAAATAATGATCATAATGATTAACTATTATATTTCCCTCCTCAATGTTCTTTATTGTCTCAAAGAACTTGGGTACAATATGGGATAAATATTTCAGTAAAGTTACAAAAGTATTGTTAAAATTTAATTAATATTCATGTTATCGTGATTGCAGCAAAATAAAAATAAAGTAAGTATTGAATCTTTATATATTAATAATCATTGTTATAAAAAAAAATCTTATATGTTGTAAAATGTTTTTTCAATCTCTAGAATTTTAGGAATAATTATTTATCTATATGTGTGATGTAAAAGTTGATATGGAATAGCTATAAAAGCAAAGTTTTTATTAGCATTTTCAAAATGCTATAAATTATTGGATAAGATTGAAAAATGTAAATAATATAAATATAAGTGTGTAATTACATGAAAAATTTTTTTAAAATTATGTGTATATCAATTTGCTCCATGAGAAAAACAACTACCACATTTACATTAATATATATTCCTGCAATTGTACTTTTTAATCCTTATATTAAGGATTAAAAACAATTAATGTGTTATACTTATTTCCTTATAAGTATTAAATATAAGTATGAATTATAAGTATGAAATGAACAGCACACATAGAAGACATTTCACATTTCAGTAATTCGAACTTTTTTAAGATTTATATATATATATATATATATATATATATATATATATATATAGAATTACATGTACACTTATACTAATCTATAGAGGTTGTAATAATTTATTTACCCACTTAAATATTATATATATATATATATATATATATATATATATATATATATATATTAAGATATGAAAGATATTAACACAATTTTTCTATAATAATCTTCAGTTTTTCAAGCCCATTGCAAAAATTGGGACCTATAATAATCAGATGGAAAGATAAAAGTGACTAGAGACTTCTTTCCAACGCTTTTAATTACATTTGTTAGTTTTTCTACTATATATGATTTAAATATCATGAATATATAAAAAAATAATTTATATAAATCTAATAGAGAAATTTCATAAAATAATTTATAATTCTTTATAACATGATATAAATAAAAATATTTACATGATATAAATAAAAATAATTTTTTTTGTAAAAACTCCAATTTCATTTAATTTTCGAAAACGCAATTATTTAGAATTAAAAACAACAAAAGATATTGTTAATATATTTGAATTAAAGATTGATAGAGAAATTAAATTATATGCTCAAGATTCTTTACATGTTATAAAAAAAATGTTAATTATATAATTTCACGTTACGATTGAAAATACGATTTTAACATAAAATTGTAATTACTACTTTTTAGTAGAAATACTGATTGAAAATTAAGAGAAAACATTGTTCGTTTTTTATTATCTGTAATCTTAATATTAGTAACAGTTATAAAGCGGTAGCTATAAATTCGAAATGCAATTATAAATTAACATCTTAAACGTCATTGGAAATTATATGTACTTTAATACATACTGTTATATATATATATATATATATATATATATATATATATATATATATGTTGCTACATCTGACAAACATGACAGCTCTATGTTGAACCATTTTCACCATCGTGTACATTCCTACAGGATTAAGCTGGAATGTAACGACTTTAGATAATAAACCAAAGTATAACTGCATATGACAAGTATAAATTGTATACAATATGATACAGAGTTATTTATCATAATTTACTGTACTCTGAAAAGTTCTCACTTATAAACATTACAATTTGCGTATAGTTATATCGTCGGGGTTAACCAATACTGTACAGAGTCATCTCATCTTGAATCTGAGATTCCATGGGAATTAACAGACAGGTATACATTGGCTTGACTTTGAATCAGCTGACGGGCGGCAGGCATCGCGGTGGTGATGGTGAGTAAAATCAATTACTCGGCGTTATTCGTTAGAAGATGATGATTCCCGTCTTTTCTCGGCGTGTTTTTTCGTAAACTCCTCGGCATTCTTTAAAAATTTTTTTCTATCTTTCAAAAATTCTTCTGCTAAATCCGCTCTCAGTGGATGTTCAGGTTCAGGATCATTCACTAATGCTATCAAAGCTTGGATCACTACAAATACATAAAAAAAAGAAGTGACATATTTAAAATTAAAGATATCTTAAGATTAAAGACATGTCTATATTTTTCTCTTTAAAAGAAAAACTATTTTTGTATTTATTCTACCTTAGAAATAAGAATTTTATTATATAAGCCTTTTATTTGCAAATTGCAACAAATAGCAATTATATTCACTGAGAGAATATTGCTATTCATTTAAAAGCAGAATGACTCAAAGAAATTGAATGACTAAGATAGTGGGGGAATCTGACCTTGATCTGTTTTTGTAGCAGGTTTCCAATTTTCAGCACTTATAATTGGTAAACATATCTGGCCTTTTTCATCTACATTTGGATGGTATATCTTTGTTTTAAAATTTATTCTTGGTGGTTTAAAAGGATATTCTGCAGGAAAATTGATTTCAATACGAAATGCTCCTTTATTATATGGTGGATTATCCTATGGAAAAAAACATTTTCTTATTAATGTAAAATAACAGGTAAATTAATATCTATTTTATATTATTAAAATTATATTACATGTTATGTATAAAGATTATACATGTTATAAAATTAAAAAAACCAAAATTTAAATTATATATGTAAATATATGCTATAATACTATTAAAAAACTTTGTATATGCTTTCTTTAAGACACAAAAAATAATCTTTTTATATTTTTTACATATAAAACATAGCAGTTACAATTTTATACATAGATTCTATACAAAAAGTATGGAATTTATAATAATTAATATTATAATATTAATAATATACACAGTATATTATCATAATTTGTTTCTGTTATTTACTTATTAATTAAATATTATGTTAAGTATAATATTTTAATATAGGTAATTTCATATCTTAAAATATATTATTGAAACTATTACATTTAAAAAAAATGGTTTTTATAATAAAATATAGACTAAATGAATTTTATCAAAAAATACTGTGTTTAAAAACATTAAACAATATAAATAAATAACAAAACATATGTATATAAATCAAAAGAAAACAACGATAAGCAATGCTTTTCTAAACAACTATATTTTTCACTTTTCTTCGCACATTTTTCTCTTATCTTTTTCTCTCGAAAAAGTATTCGTTTCATCCCTCGTGCGTGAAAAATATAACAAGACATACACCTGAGAGAAAAATAAAGGATGAGTCACAAATGCACTTTGCACCCCGCGCGTATTTTAGGTTACGTATGTCCTCGAGCTCTCGAGGATGATGTATACATACCGGCAGTATGAGACCCTGCCAAGTGAGGATGTTGGATTCGTCTACTTGAATATTTGTGAAATTTTTCATCGCCGACGCCCTTAGGTCGCCGAGCTCCTGGAAAAAGAACACGGATGGTCATGTCAGAGACACAGTGGCAGTGATCGTATCGTGGATAAAATCGCGCTAGTTTTAGTCAGTGACGTTTCGTGACAGTGACGGAAAATTATAGCCGAGAAACGAAAATACGCGAAACGGGCTACAGGAGCAGATAATATAACGAGGAGAGTTATCGACATTATAAACGACGAGATCGAGGGGTCCAACGATGAAGCAAAAAAAACGCCATCATGATTGCCGTTTTTTTCGCCGATCAGACTTAATCGCGATCGCAGAAAAATTCGTCTGTAATTAACTGTCGTATGACGATCTCGTTCCACTGTCGTTCCCGTGTCACACGACCGATACTATACCGAATTACCTTTTGCAATCTCCTCGTAGCGGCCATTTTGAAAATAAATTCTACTAAAAGTACTGCAACAAAATTTGTCGAGTTCGCCGTCAGTGCTGCTGATTCCTCTCGAGAAATTTCCTAGCTTCCATTTCGAAAGATGGTCGCGTTCGAAAATCAGATAAAGCGTTTTTTCCATCAATTGCAACAGAAAAATATTTGCTCTCCTCTTGTTCCGATTGGTTTAGATCGACGAATAATATACCCTGATGAATCCCTTTTAACAAACAAAAAGAATTATATGGCATCTTAAAAAGTATGCAATCTAGATAGGCCTTAAGAAATAAGAACGGACGGACTATGAATACCGGCCTTATCATGGAGAATTAAGGCTATAGCATACACTTTCCATAAGACATAACAGTAAGGTTTCGACCAATCGCGTTGCTCAATTTGGCCGTCCGTAACCAAATTGAGCAACGCGATTGGTTGAAACCTTACTGTTATGTCTTATGGAAAGTGTATGCTATAGCCTTTAATTGGAAGTAAAATGATCAGTCTCATCAGAATATTTTTTTAATTGCTCGCTAAATTTTGACTTGTAGATGGAAAGATATATCTTTACGATACGAAATTCTTTAGATATCTTGTGACGTTTGCATTATTATTGTGCTAAAGAGTATGGATAAAATGTATTTCCTAATCTAAATTACAACCAACAAAAAAACAAGTTTTGAACAATATTATATATTATGTATATATGTAAAAAAATTTTCATTAATGAGATGAAAATCTTTTGAAATAGAAAGATTCTTTTATGTATACACATAATTTATATATAAGATTATATATATTAATATATTTTTTTATATTAAAGTGTATATATCTAAAGGAGAATATCATTACATACTTCAATTTTTCAACAAAAGAAATGGTGAGCAGACATTTTATGTATAATTGCTAATACAAATTAATGCAAAACTAATAAATTTAAGTATTAGATGTTTTAATGGATATAAATAATTTACAGATTCTACAAGAATAAGAATTTTTATAATTCTAAAGCTAAAAACATAGCTGAATATGAAAGAAGTACAGTGGCAGAAAAATTTATATGAAAATTATGGCTTGCCAGACAATTACACAGATAGGTCCTTCTTAGAACAACTGCGTAAAAATATAAAACCAAATAATGTAACAATGACTGAAGCGATAAGTTTGGGTGCCAGTATATCCATACAATTGAGCATTGTAGTACTTTTTGTCATAATATTTATTTGGTTAAATAATGAGTGGATCACACCAAATGTTATTGTAGTATCAGGTGGCATATTAACAATTTTTGGATATTTTATTTATAACATTAAAGTATCCAATCGATCTGTGAGATTGACAAAAGATTTGTGGACAGTATTAATATTTGTTACATTTGGTTATATATTATCGCCTATTTTGAAAACTTTAACTGAAACAATTAGTACTGATACAATTTATGCTATGACAATATTCATGTTCTTGACTCATTTAATATTTAGTAAATATGGATCATCACAAATCTCTTTGTCAGATTCCTTATCCATAACTTCTTCAATTTTTGGTTCATTAATGTTGGCTTCCAGATTAACATCTCCATTACATGCTTTTTCACTTTTAACAGTTTCCGTTCAGTGTTTTGTATTGTTACCATATTTATTGTCACAAATAATTAATAAAATTTTCATATCAGTTTTTTTGACAATTGGTACCATATATTTACTTTTATTTATCTCACAAACATTTTCATATGTTTTTATTGTTGCTATAATATTCCTCCATTTTATTTGTCCACTTTGGTATATTAGATGCCAAAAATATAAAGATAACATTTATGGTCCATGGGATGAAGCAGTAATCGTTTCCTAAAACAAATAGAACATATTCTCTGTAAAGTATCATGATTATATAAAACTGTATATAAATGTAAACATGTAATTTCTTTTTCTTTCTCTCCATTAAATTTAGATTATATATGTACTATACTTTAAAATACAACTTTCTATATTTATTATATATTTTTATATAAAAATGTCATATTTACAATATTTACATAATAAATAATAAATGACATATTACATAAATATATTTATTGCATATATATAAGTCAGAGAGATAAATAAGATATATGGAAGAAACATGTTAATATAAATCATGTTATAATTCTAATAGAATTAAGATATTTAAGAATTAAAGATATTCTAATGTTTTACAAAAAATGTAATAGAAGATAAAGTAAAGAACAATTATGATTTTCCCTGAATTTTTGTAAATAAATCGACATTGTGTATATATTTGAGATTCTCTAAATTAGAATTATCAATCATTTTTAATACATTTCAAATATGTAACAAATTGTTAGTGATTTCAATTACAATTTCATATTCTAGTCTAAATATTTTTCGTTTTTATTTTATATATAAAATGACGATTGACCTTAAGCTAGATTATACAAATTAATAAAAATTAACAAATTATAAAAATCCTTTATTAAAATTGGGATAAAAATATATACTTAAATTATAAACAATATCTAGATATGAAAAAATATTTGAAATCAAGGAAATTATTAACAAAATTGAAACTATGAATGTAAACGCACATCTTAGCTCTTTATTTTATGATTATAAATTGTAGTAATCTTTTAATTCGTCTTATAAGAGCTTCAATAAAACTGCGATCCAATGTTGCATATTCACTGTGCGTTGTATCCAATAACTGTGTAATAAAAGTATCTGTAAATATAGAAACAAGTCCTTGCTTCAGTTCCATTAATGTTTCAGTCGAGACTTTCCATTCTATCATATTCTCATCAATGCTGCTTGAAGACACTATAAACAAATATTTTAAGTGCTTGAATAATTATATAAAAATTATATAAATATACATTGTTTATGATAAAGTCGAAAATGTCACTGACCGTGTATTCTTTGAGTATGTCGTGATATCACTTGCATAGTATAAAAGTCCAAATGACTCCAGAGAATGTATAAAGCATGTTCTATTATAAGAGAGCAATATTTTATACTTTGTCGCTTATCTTTTACCCAACGATTCAATCGTTGCTCGACCAATATTCGTTGTTTTCCTATATCGAGTTCCATCTCATTTTCAGACATAAACTGATAAAAAATCAATCATATTAAGACAAGTGATTTGATGTTACAAATATATATAAATTTGATTGAAAGTTTTGCTCACCTTTTTTAATTCTGCTGTACTCATGTCAGTTACTATTTGCGATTTTTTTATTAAAGAGTCGATATGTGGTAGCTCAGTATGTAGTAAATTTGTTACAGAAACCAGCTGTTCAACTATCATGCCTAAATGCATCCCTCCAGAAGTGTCTTTCATTTTGTCATGTCTTCCTTCAGGTTTCGGCATTAAATAAGGATCAAACAACACATTCCGTATTTTCTGATCCATACGACTGTGCTGCATCTAAAAATGGAAATATAGTTACAATGTGTAGACAACATATCCATTAGAAAGCCTAAACTTATTTTAAACATTTCCAATACACTCTCATATGAACCCATATCCCAATATGATAATCATATAATAATAATTATAGATATAATATATATATATATATATATATATATATATATATATATATATATATATGTATGTATGTGTATATGATAAATTAAATTATAAAAATTATAAATTTAGAACTTACTTGGTTACGTGTATATAATAAAACATTGGCGACAATTTGTATACAAGAAATATATTGTTGGTTTGCTTCAGCTTGCTGATAGTTATGATTCATTGGAATCGATTGTAACTGAAATCTGTGCAACAACGATAGCATTAATTTCTGCAGCCGGTATAAGTGCGCCCGCAATTCTCTCATCCCAGTACTATTCTCCAATTTATAATCATCTATATTTATCTTCGCTAACTCATCATCCACAAGTTTGTACATGTCTGAAAAACAATTGTACTAATGAAGCATTTATAATAAAATGAAATACGAGTATAAAGTTTAATGCTTTATAATACAAACCTATATTGGCAGATCTGGATATTACACCAGTGAGACATGCAATCTCTTTCAAGAAAAGCACATTAGCGTGCAAGAATGCGTTTCTTAAAGCCATCTCCACAATATCTCTGTGACTCTGCAGGAACCCGCAAACTTGTACAGCGCACGATTGATTTTCTGTTCCCAACGTGGTGAATAGAGCATCACAGAGATACAAAGCCGGCAAAAAGATTTGTTGATAACGTTGCCCGACCGACGGTATGAATGAGTAATCACCACCCTCGAAACCTATGTGCACATCAGGATGTTGATCGAACACGCACATACTAGACATACAGAATAAAACCTTGTTCTCCAAAAGACTCTCCGCGCCTAATCTCGTTGAGGCCATTCTGCAAAAGATCGCTATTTTTGCCTCATACAGATACAAAGGCCGCAATGTTTGCGGTTCCGGTTGCAGCATACACCGCAGCAGATTGTCCGATTCTAATAGGCTGTCTATCATGTGCTTCAAGTAGCCTCTGCTCGCCAAGTAGATCATCCACGCATTATCGTAATCCAACTCTAAGATCTTGTCTAGGCAAGACAGTGCAAGCATCTTGCACACATCGTGTCCTCCTGAGCAATTATGGCATACAATATCCATCAATTGATTCCCAAAACTGTTGATAACTTGAATTGTCGCATAACGTTGCGATCTTTCTTGCACGGGTATGAGTCGATTCAATGAACTGTCCAACTGGCTAATGTACATTGAGTCAATTGTACTTACGTGTTCGGTTGACTTTTCTAAACCAACAATACTTAAAAAGTTCAACAAAGCCGCGTAAAGATGTGTCATGACTTTCTGAGAGGAAGCGCCAGCATTTATGATCCATTGTAGGATATGATTTAAAATTATCTTCATCATCGTTGTATTCGACGGTGATGACGGCAGTAACTCATTGTCTGATTGAATCACGAAACTATTTCGCAAGTTCACTAATAGCATCAAAACTGTGCCGGATACTAACGTCTTAATCTCACTCAAAGCTTCGCAAGTCGTCATCTTCTGTAGTAAATCATGTGACAAATTTAGCAAAAGGTTCTGCCTTTGCGTCACCGGCAATTGTTGATTAGTCGCGACGGAGAAGAGTATCTCTGTAGTTTGGCACCAACCTTCCACAAATTTAACAGTCGCATAAGATAGAACCTTGGTCTGATTCTTTTTCAATGCATGCGCAAGTATAGATTTTACTTCTTGCTGCATGAGCTTGCGTTGAGTAGCAGTCGCACTACTCTGTGTAACCGTTAATTCCTCGGTAATGAGAGAATGCAATTTTCTGATGTCGATGAGTCGTGGGCCGCCCATCAACGCGACAGGAGTGCTGCATTTGCCCAAAACCATTTCGATTTGCGATGGATCAAAGAATTCCCAGCATTTTGCAGGTTCCAGATACAATTGGAAATCGATATAATGTAAAAGATCCATTAATAACTTCTGCGAGGGTACGATTTGATCTTTATCTTGATTGAAACTTCCCACCAATCGTTGAATCAGAGAAGTTTGTAAACTACCACCGGCAACTCGCAATTCAATGGCTGCTATCTTTAATAACCAAGACATGCAACCAAGTTCAGTCGATTTGTTCGGTCCTTGAAACGGTAATTTTGAGAGATGTCTTTGTACAAAGTCCTGGTTACTTGTGGTGCGTAGAAATCTGAGAACAGGTACCGATGTTTTACTATTAGCCGTCAATATGTGAAGATAGCAATAACAAGCTTCAGTTATCTTGTCGCGACCGTAATCCAGTGATTGTTCCAATATGCCTAAAATAGAGTGTAGACAAGTACGTGGAAAGCCCAAAATTCCTGGTTGTTGGATAACGGTCTTTCTGATGTCTTTAGTTATATCGAAGCCGAGTAAGTAATGCGCAAGATTGGGCGCAGGCCGTGTGATACTATGCATCATCAACAATAGAATTCTCTCTTTACAATTTCCAGCCTGTAATTGTCTTTGATCACTGCTAGCTGTCTCCAAGTCGCCATCCTCCAAGATTAAATTATCTGCGTCTAGACACTCGACGAAGCCGTGTCTAATATTCGTCGCTAAAACAGAAGTCGCTGTGAATGTGGATAACAATTCGGAATCTGCTCCAGGTTCATTTGTCACACCATGTATAACACCAACAGCTACAAAAGCCTGCTTCGGTAGCCACGAGTTGTAAGAAACATATTTGACGATATTAATCATGTGATCCGGTTTACCAGTGCGAGGATTCACTCCGAGTAGCAAACGTGATAATCCGGTCATGATTTTGTTTGAAGGTATGGCTGTCAACTGCGCCATATAACTATTTTGTGTCTTCAATCCACGCTCCAATATCTCTAAGCAATAAAAACTGCAATTTTCCAAATATTTTTTGCCAGAAAAATTGTTATAAGTGTCGAAATGATTGCAACCTTCATTCAAAATGAATAATATCACATTTAATAATTCAGACGTGGTGTGCAATTGTGTCATCAAGTGATATCCCGGAGCCGAGTTGACTAATGTAGTCTCACCACCTTGCAACTCGACCTTACAGCCCACGAAATCTTCGACAGTCGGTTCGTATTGTTTTATAAATTTCGAGAATATCTTCAAGCAGGTTTCCGCAATCTTCCACTTCTCGGCCGGATTCTTATACGAACGAGTATGAAATCGTAGAAAGACAGTGTTAATGATAAAATATAGATATGGATCAAATCCTGGATTTCGTTGGCCTACACCCAACAGACGCGGTATTGGGAAATCGGTGAGCACATCTAATAATTCTAACATTGCGCGCGTTAATGGATACTCTTCGTTCCTGGATTCGATCTCTTCCAATTCCGTTTGCACACCTCTCGGTTGATAACTGCTGGTTGTTGGTATAGTTGAGAGAATTTGAGCGGCTTCTAAACTTTGCCAAACACTGGAAGAACTT